GAGCAGGAAGGAGCAGTACTAGCAGTATCACCAAGATCACAGAAGAAGAAGCAGTCAGTTCCAGAGAAGCAGCAGTCAGTTCCAGAGAAGCAGCAGTCAGTTCCAGAGAAGCAGCCAGTTCCAGAGAAGCAGCAGTCAGTTCCAGAGAAGCAGCCAGTTCCAGAGAGGCAGCAGTCAGTTCCAGAGAAGCAGCAGTTAGTTCCAGAGAAGAAGCAGCCAGTTCCAGAGAAGAAGCAATCAGTTCCAGAGAAGCAGTCAGTTCCAGAAAAGGAGCAGTCAGTTCCAGAGAAGCAGCAGTCAGTTCCAGAGAAGCAGTCAGTTCCAGAGAGGCAGCAGTCAGTTCCAGAAAAGGAGCAGTCAGTTCCAGAGAAGCAGCAGTCAGTTCCAGAGAAGCAGTCAGTTCCAGAGAGGCAGCAGTCAGTTCCAGAGAAGAAGCAGTCAGTTCCAGAGAAGAAGCAGTCAGTTCCAGAGAAGAAGCAGTCAGTTCCAGAGAAGAAACAGTCAGTTCCAGAGGAGGAGCAGTCAGTTCCAGAGAAGCAGTCAGTTCCAGAGAGGCAGCAGTCAGTTCCAGAGAAGAAACAGTCAGTTCCAGAGGAGGAGCAGTCACAGCAGTCAGTTCCAGAGGAGGAGCAGTCACAGCAGTCAGTTCCAGAGGAGGAGCAGTCACAGCAGTCAGTTCCAGAGGAGGAGCAGTCACAGCAGTCGGTTCCAGAGGAGCAGTCACAGCAGTCAGTTCCAGAGGAGGAGCAGTCACAGCAGTCAGTTCCAGAGGAGGAGCAGTCACAGCAGTCAGTTCCAGAGAAGGAGCAGTATCTAGAGACGGAGTTTCCTTTTAGTCAAGATCTATTCCTACAACCATCAGGGAAGCTAAAGACACATAAAACTAGGAGGGAAAAGAGACTTCACAACCAGAGATGGAGCAGTAGTGGTGATGGGAGTTCTACTATGCAGTTGAGGATGGAGCAAAGAAAAGACACAGAGATTCTGAAGTGGATGGAGAAAGAAGACAAGTCCAGGATAGTTGAGAGAGATGGGGTAATCTGCCGTATTTGGAAGCCAAGGGATGAACCAGATACTACTTATGAACAGATTGTGCTACCACAGCAATATAGGAAACAAATTATCAGGTTAGCCCATGACTTACCTTTTTCTGGTCATTTAGGTACAAGAAAAGACGACACAGAGGGTCTTAAGAAGATTTT